CACGGCTGGCTGCAGGGCAGGTCCTCAGCTGGTGCCCAGGGGAATGCCAGTGCAGCCGGAGCCATGTTGCCCTGCACCCTCGCCCTTCTCCTCCTCTTCCTGCCGGTAGGACCATCCCGATGGGGCTGGGGAACGCTGTGAGTCTTTGAGGGGGACAGCAGGACAGCCCCTGTGCAGTCCCCTGGGCAGAGCTCTGCCCCTCCCCAGCCCCTCAGGCCTGCTTTCCGTCCCTGTAGGACGCGGCGCCTGACGTGCTGACCTTCCCCAAGCCCGGCCATGGCCTCCGGCGGCAGAAGAGAGACTGGGTCATCCCCCCCATCAACTGCCCCGAGAACGATCGGGGCCCTTCCCCAAGAAGCTGGTGCAGGTACATGGCCTTGCAGGGACGGGGTGCAGGGCAGGGCAGTCCCTGGAGCACTGGGACCCCTCTAACCCCACCTCTGTCTTGCCATCAGATCAAATCTACCAAGGACAAGGAGATCAAGGTTTTCTACAGCATCACGGGGCAGGGGGCGGACAGCTACCCCGTGGGTGTCTTCACCATTGAGCGCGAGACGGGGTGGCTGGAGGTGACAAAACCACTGGACCGAGAGGAGATCGACAAATACATCGTGAGTGGGTGGCCAGGATGGGGAGGGGACAGTCCCCAGGGCTGTGCATGGGTTGACAGTGCCCTTTGTAGCTCTTCTCCCACGCTGTGTCAGCCAACGGGCAGCCTGTGGAGGACCCCATGGAGATCATCATCACCGTGACAGACCAGAATGACAACCGGCCTGTCTTCACTGAGGCGGTTTTCCGTGGCACCGTGCCGGAGTGGGCTGAGCCAGGTGAGACCGATGCCGCCAAGCAGGAGGCAGTGCTGGGGGAATGGGGGAGATGTCACCAATAACCACCCGCTCCCAGGCACCCCTGTGCTGCGGGTGCTGGGCACAGAGGCAGACGACGCGGTGAGCTCCACCAACGGGGTCGTGGTCTACTCCATCCTACGCCAGAGGCCAGACCATCCCCAGCCCCACATGTTTGCCATCAACAGCGGCACCGGGGTGATCTCTGTGGCTGCAGTGGGGTTGGTGGCACAGGTGAGCCCCGGGCACAGCCCCTGCCACCCCCCAACCCCGTTCAGGGGTGACACAACCTCTCGCTGCAGGTGGTCCCTGAATACACACTGGATGTCCAGGTGGCAGATGTGGAAGGGTATGGGCTGCAGGCCACCGCCACCGTGCTCATCAAAGTGCAGGTGAGGCACCAAGCCCACCCGTGTGCCGCGCCAGCAGGCGGACGGGCAGGGTTAGACCATGGTGAAGCTACCGCCTGCTCCTGGCAGCCCCCACGTGCCCAGCCGCCACGGCACCCACG